ACACCCCCTACCGGGGATGTGCCCGCATCCAAGGTACATGCCCTTGACCGGAATCAAACCCGGGACCTTTCAGTCCGCAGACCAACACTCTACCACTGAGCCAAACCGGTTTCGGCTCATCGATGTTTCTAATTCTCTATCCCTCTCTCTTCCTCTCTATAAAAAAAATCAATAAAAAATATATATTTTTAAAAATTACATCTATGGCACGTGTTCTTTCGGAAGGCCCAGTGTTCTGTTGTTGAGACCAGATTTTAGCATTTTTCTTTTTACGCAGAGTGAGTGTAGTTTACTACTATTGCTACCAAGAAGAATAGATTCACTAGGCTCTTTTTTCTCTCCTCGGCCTTCCCTGTGCTGTGCAGACAGGGTGGGCAACAAGCGGAGACAGGGCTGCGATGATCCTGATGATGAAATATTAGCCCTGAAACAAACCAGTACACTTCCCACCTGGGCGGCCCCAGCAGGAACCAGGGGCACTGCTGACCCCGAGCAGGGACTGACTTCCTGGCCGCTGTTAAAACAATGCACTGGAGAACAAAGTGCCTTCGAAACTAAGAATAGAAGATCAGCTCCAAATAAGAGCTCCAGGATGGCGCAGGAACCAATCCCTCCCCCGCTCCAGCCCTCCGCCGCCTTCCACCCGTGGCTTGACCTGACCCCCTGGCTTGACAAATGTCCCTCCCGGTCTCAGCCCCAACCATCCTGCACTCTCAGCGGTCTGTGCACACAGCCCTGGGTGAGGGCTGAGGGACAAAATGGAAGGGGGAGACCTAGAGGAAGAGGTGACACGGCTCTGCCCTAAAGGACCCACACCCCAATGGTCCTACAGGGGAGACGTGGCATGTATGTGAACCATGTCTTCGTAACGTGAGCCATGAAACTGATAGGTCAGAATGAAGATCCTTTTTTTTAACCAGGTACTGGTGGGATGAAACCTAATTGTATCTGAGCATAAGTCTCAGTTTTATTGCCTACTAGAGGTCTGGTGCACGAATTTGTGCATGGGTAGGGTCTGGCCAGGTGGAGGGGTTTCGGGAGGTTAGAGGGTTGGCACCACCCCTGATTGGGATGGAGGGGGCTGACTGAGGGTGGGGGTGGCAGGGAGGAAGGGCCACAGGTGGTTGGCTGGCTGGACCCACCCCCTGGTTGAACTCACGGTTGAACTTCTGTTCAAACTCCTGGCCAAGGGGATGATTTGCATATTAGCCTTTTATTATATAGGATAGCATGAGCATAAAAATAAATATTTGTTATTGTTTGCCACTGAGTTTGGGGTGGTTGTTGCTCAGCAAAAGTGGGCTGAGACCGTCTCTTTTACCCTCATCCAGAGGTTCCAGGCTGGGACTGGCTTTGGCTTCTCTTCTCATTCAGGTGGGATTTCAGCAGTTGGGTCATTCTATGGCTCTCTCCATTCCATTTCCTCTGGGCTGGCAAAGTCCCACTCAAAGAGGACAGCAGGGGCTACAGAGACCCATATTTTGGCCATCTTGGCTCCCGGCACTGAGTCACGCACCACGCTGGTTTCTCAGGCAGCGTTTGCTGAGTGAGAGGATCGGTGCTGTCCGCCTGGTGGGAGGAGCAGTGTCACCAGCAGGCAGCAGCCTGGCCTCAGGCACTCCGGGCCCCCGGCTCCACGGTCCCCAAAGTGTGAGGAATGGACGCACCGGTGACACAATGTCATGTCAGACCACAGGCTGCGGACCTGGGTGCATCTATTATAATGTTTTAGGGAACGCATTACAGTGTTTACCGACGTCAGGACTATTATTGCTTAAGATCAGCCTGAGAAACAAGTAGCAAATTTAAAGAAAAACAGTAAGTAAAGAATAACAGCACAAGTGGTATGTGGAGATGGGGAACATGACTGAAGTTTAGGAAACACTGACCCATATCAAGTCTCATTTCCCTACAAATCACAATCATAATCAGAGCATTTTTTTGAGCACTGACAGGATACACTAGTCTGAGGGGTTTCACAGATATTTTATAAACTCCTTCCAGGGTCTGAGGCAGATACTAGCGTCATTTCATTTTGCAGGGAAGGTAACTGAGGCACGGAGAAGTAAGGAACTTCCTGAGGTCAATGGCAGGGAGGGTCGAACCCAGACTATCACTCTCCAGCACCCAGGTTCTTAACAGCACGTCTCTCCTGGAGAATCTGAGCCCAGGAAGTCCAGCACTGCCCAAGGTGAACCCTAACACCTAGACCTTGAACCCCAAACTCCTGACTCCCAGCCAGTGCTCCATGAGGAGCACTGCGATGGGAGCACCTGGAGTTTGTGGCCGCGGCTGCATGGGGTAAGGGAGAGAGGCGGTACACGCCACCAGCAAGGCGTGGAAGGGAAAAGGTGGGGACACAGCCTGCCAAACGGGCAGGTATTTGAGGTCTGAGAAGTTAGAATAAACTTATTCGGGGCTGACAGAGCAAAGGGGCTGCTTTCTGAGCTCTCCCCAAGGGACCCACCGACCCGTGCAGCATCGGGAGCTGGCTGCCCTGAGTGACATCCCCATGGTCTATATTTAGGTCCTGGAGTCACCCATTGTTTCTGTCCTGGTGGACACTCCGGGGTCAGCACCCTGACCTCGCCCTCTCCGAGTCACCTCTGAGTGTTCCATCAGGAGAGGCCTGTTTAGGATCTGGTTTGAATCAACTTCCCCTCCGTGGCTCCCACTCGGCGTTCTGGGAAAGCTGTAAAAACACGGCTGGAACCGGCGCTTTAAAACGAAGCACCGACCTTCTGAGGAATACGCCGCTTCCTTCCCTCCGCAAAGTCAGGCCAGGCCCCCCTCATCGCGGACAGAAGGCGGCTCACAGCCCTGTTGTGGCTAAGCCCTTCTGCACACACGAAGGATCCTTTTTTCTGGCAGCAACCAACACGCTTTATGGTCGATAAGACCTGCGACATAAATCACTGTTGTGAGTACGGACTCTGTGCCAGGCACCATCAGGAGTCATTTCATGTGCCCCTCGTGGCAATCCTAAAGGCAGACACTATTTATTATTCCCATTTCACAGAGGAGGAAACAGATTTGCAGAGGCTGGATAACACACATAGGAGTGCATGGCTACTAAGAGGCAAAGCTGGGACTCAGACCTAAATCTCTGTGGTTTAAAAGCCAGGCACTCTATTACACTCTATCATTTTCCCACAGAACCAGCGTGGCCAAATCTCAGAGGATGAATGCATGACATCTGTCCCTTACTCACCCTTCACATCCAATTACCAAGTGTCCAATCCAGCCCAATTCCTCCAGGTCCTTTCCTGGAGGCTCTAAGAGCCAAGACATAAAAATTCATTTAATAATATCTTCAAGAGGTCAGTACTAGCCAGACAATTACATTTTGAGTTCCTGTGATATTTTTGGGAAACGTGCCCTTAAAAGCACTTATTAAATCATTTGACTGTGAAATAGGGAAGATGTGAGAACTATATTTTACTTTTTGGACAAGGTATTTGCATGCCTAAGATTCATATAAGAGCTAAAATGAGTTTAGAGACATGTCTGAGAGGTGGGGAAACTGAGTCCAGAGAAGGTGGGGACTTGACACAAGGACCTCTTATGTCGGTGTTAATTGGACCACGGCTGTTAATCCGCCAAAACGGGCTGATCTGCCAAAGTTCTTAAAAGTAAAGTGTCACCGAGGATGCTGCCTGTGACAGTTGTGGGAAGGGACCCATCATTAAAACCATCATGTAGCGCGCAATGACTAAGAATGTCATTTCTGGATCCCTTCTGCCTGAAGTTGAAATCTGATCCCCTACTAACCAGCTGGGTCACCATGGGCAGATAAAATTACTTATCTTCTCTAAGCCTCAGCTTTACCATCTGCAAAATGGCAATGATACTAACAGCCAAACCCCACAGTGCTATAAGAATCTCATGAGCTAATGCGAATAAAGTACTTAGGAACATGAAGAGTATCTAATTAATGTTAGCTATCATTGTACTATTTCCTAGCACTGTTGCACTGAAGTATGATAAATCATTTTAGATGTTGTCCATTTCCATATCTCAAAGGCTCAAAAGTTATTCTTTATCAGGTGAGCGAATAGCTAGGTGAGTGAGATGGGAACGAAGATATACACTGAGACCACCCAAATCACATGAAAAGACAAAAAAAAAAACAAACATAAAAATGTATGTCTATAACGGTTATGCGCCAGAGAGATGGAATTAGCATTATAATTCTAAAACACAATTCTGATGGGAAAAATAGAAAAAGCAATGGGCATTTCCTTTAGACTATAGTTTTGGCTTCTCCAAAGCTTTAATACCTACTCACAAACAAATAAATAAATAAAAGGGACAGAGTAAGCCTCGGGGCTCCTAACTGGCCCCTCCTGAAATGACCCAGCCAGGCACCCATACTCTCAATGAGAACACTAGCCAGTCAGAGTCTCCGCCGATATTATCAGACTTCATCTTCCCGATGATGAATATATTCAAACCACCAGGATTGCTTTAAGGAAACCTACAAAGAAAGGTTGCTCCGAGCAGAATGAACTTGGAAAACTTAGTCTGACCATCTTCCAACACAAGGAAGAGAAGATCTTGGAAATCCACTGTGTGATCCAAACACACCACACAGAAGGCAGCTGCATCCTTTCTTCTTCCCCATTAACTGAAAACAGGTCTCATAAAAATTAATATGCCAGCATCGTGGGCCAAGAGTGCAAGGCCCACCTCCCCTCGCTCTCCTCCAATCACAGATGCCCAAGGACACGCTGACACCCAGGCGCTCCGCTGAACTCACCATCTCCACCAAAGCTCAACCAGCTGTGGTCTTACACTCAACCACAGGCTCTCTTCTGGGTCAGACTAACGAAAGGCAGAAGTCTGCCTCCACCACTCCAGGTGTTAACAGCAGCTTCCCGCTCAGCTTCTTGGGAGAGAAATAGACAGCTGCGCCCTCCACCACCTCAGCCCCTGGCACCGCTCAGCCAGGCCTGGGTGGGCACTGGGAGCTGCTGGGCACTCGGCTGCAGGGAGCTTACCTGAGCTCGGACAAAGAAGCAACACCACACCATGGGGCGCTCCGGCCTCATCCACGCGGGAGCCCCCCGCCCCTAGCTGTGGCGGAGCCCTGCGGACGGGACGGACGGGATACTCCGAGCAGAGTAGAGCATGGTTTCCCTTGAAGGAACTCCTCCCCCTCCTTGGGCTGCATGACAGGAAGTGACAGGGGCGATCAGTTACAAGTGTCAGGAGCTGAGAACCACACCAGCCGCCCGCTGCCTGTGCTGCTGCTTCTCGGAGCACCCTTGCTTCGGGAAGCATTCAAAGGGACCCAAGAGATTCGGTTCCTGGCTGACAATCCCAGCCTGTAAGGAAGAAACCGTGTTCCCTGGGTCCCCACCTAAAGCCGGGCTGGGCATGTTGGCAGCTCTGCAGGCTGAGCCGCTAAGACATCCTGCCCCCGCCCTGCAGCTTTGCAGACCCAATGCTGGGGTGAAGTGAAGGGAGGAGGAACACTGGGAGCAGAGCTTGGGGTACTCAGAGGGAAATCAATAGCCCACGTGAGCTTCGCCCAAAAGTCAGAGGCCCTGCCCGGATACAGAGCCCACACCGAGTCCCAATCTCACAGCAACCCAGTAAGTGAGAGCGGTGGTGAGCGCCACACCCATCCGTGGCTTGCTTTCTTTTTTTTTTTTTTTCTTAAGCAAATGTTCTCATCAGAGCTTATTCAAAATAGCTGCTTCTGGAAACCTCCCTTTCAGCTTTTGACATGGGTTACGAGAGGCCTGATTGCTCTTCTCAGAGTTATTATGGAGTAACTCTTGGCTGGCGTTTCTCATTCGATGAGCTGGGGATCTCACCAGACTGAACGCCTGGCCCCAGTTCCCTGCCTTTTGCAAAACCCAGGTTCTCTGGGTGAGAAAGATGGTTTCACAGTGAACTGCAAGGCTTCGGATGAAAACTATGTCCCATTCGTCCCCTCCCCACAAACAAATCAACACCCTCACCCTGCACAGTGGTGGTGAGCCTCAAGCCCAAGGAGACATAGCTCCGGTGTCATTTTCAAAATTTTTAATTTTCAGTTCCCTAACTGAAATCCCAAAAACCTTTTTTTCTTTTTGATTTTTAGAGAGAGAGGAAGGGAGAGGAAGGGAGGTGGGCAGAGAGAGAGAGAGAGAGAGAGAGAGAGAGAGAGAAAAGCATCGATGTGAGAGTGAAACACTGTTGATTGGCTGCACGCCCCAGACCTGGGATCAAGCCCACAACATGGGCATATGCCCTGACTAGGACTCGAACCAGCAAACCCTTCGTGCAGGGGATGACTCCAAACCAACAGCGGCATTGGCCAGGACGCAGAATTTTTTCTAATTGCAACGTTAGGCTGCAAAGACTTATCCCAGAGTTCCCCAAGGCATGCTTATAAAGGCACACACTTTTTAAGAGCTTTTACCTCTCTTAGCCCTGAGTAAAGTGGGGAGCCCAAGGAAGGAAGAGGGTTCACTTGAACAAGATTCAGTCCAAAACTCCATTTCCGAGCTTACAAGAAAGCAGCTCTCCCACTCTCTCAGGTCAGGGGCTGGACCCCTGAGACAGGGCCTCTGAAGGGAGCCTTCTGCCCTGTCCACACAAGGATGCACCGGGCTCTGGCAGGAACGAAGATGAACTGCTGATGGCCAAGAATAAAATAAATGCCGCCAGGAACTTGCAGAAAGTGTTGAGGGGGCGAGAAATGAGTGAGCCTGGCAAATGCATTTTTTATGGGGACAAAGTCTGGGAAGGTTTCTCAGAGCCAGAGACACACGAGCAGAATGCTGAGAGTGTTCTAGGCAGAACCAAGGAGAACAGCAGGGCGAGGTGCAGAACCACAGGGCGCTTTGGAAGGAAAGCAAATGCTTTGAAAGCACCGCTCTGCCAGCTGGGGTTTTGCTTCAAGGAGCATGGGTGTGTGTGTGTGTGGGGGGGGGTAGTATCTGAGAAAGAAGGAAGTGAAATCACTGTGAAAAGGTTCAGGCCTTTCAGGCAAGCTTCTGGGTCATCTCAAGACCCACATGCGGTCCCTGCCCTGGTCAGGCACCCAGGAAACACTCAGTAACGTGTGCAAATCAAACGGTGGTGTCCACAAAAGGTGGGTTTCAGCTCAGCCTTGGGATCCCCTGCTTCCCAAAGATTCCCCACACAGTGGGGTGGGGGTGGGGGGGCAGGAAGAGGGGCAGACAGAGAGAAGGAGGCATTCCTGAGAAGGCCTCTTGCTTCAGCCTGCTGCACCAAAAGGGCCCTGAATGTGGATAGGCCAGGTAACAACCCGCGATCCGCCAGCTTTGGTGACTGAAGCAGCTCAGCTAATGAAGAACGTCAGTCCCCCGAGGACCCGTGGAGGTGCCCATGCACCCAGTCACGCCGCTCCTGGAGGATTTTCAAGCAGGCCACTTTGCGGAGCCAAGGTCAGGATCCAAACAGAATCTGAGATCCCCACAGCACATCTTTCTCGTCAGGGGGTGGGGGAGGCACATTCGCACAAACAGACCCTAGGATGATGAGGCCTGCCTGACTTCCGCTGCTGCCTGGCCGAGAACGGAGAACCGAAACCCGGGGGTGGCAGCCCTTCGTGGAAGAGGTGAAACCAGAGTGGGCCCTGAGCAGGTAGCGGTGGAGGGGGAGGGAGGAAGAAGGAGCAGCAGAGGCCCTGGCAGGCCAGCGGGCAGCCTGCAAAGAGGAAGGAAAGGACGGGGCACGGCCGTTTCCTCTGATGCCCCTGCTCTGACCCGAGGCCCCAGCCCCAGCCATGAAGCGGGTGCCCGCAGAAGGCGCCGGGAGGGGCGCGTCCGGGGAGAGGCTCCTGCCCGCAGGACTCCAGGCCGGTCTGAGCTCCATCCCGGGAGCTTACGAAGGGACAGGAGTGTGGGCTTCTGTGCGGCATCTAGGACCCCACCAGGGAGTCAAACGTGTTTCTCTATTGAGTCCTAATGTGAAAACTAGCTTAGGATCGCGCTAACACATGCAGAGCACACAAAGCATGTAAAGTGAAAAACGAATCTTCCAAAAAAAGACACTTCACTCCAACCTCACTGGCCCACATGGAATTCAGCTCCCCCGTCAGAGCCCGGTGTAGACAGGGGGGCACACAGCCACTGCTGTCAGCGCTGGCAGTCAAGATTGAGTGGGCACCGGGCACCACCGACAGTGTTGGCCTTAGGTCAGCTCCAGCTTATTGGGGTCGCCAGGACTACTGGCCCAGGGTGACTAGACATCAAAGGTTTTTCAAGAGAAGCTGGAAAGCCCAGGTTTTATATAAAAATCTCCCAGTGTTTAAATGCTGGCAACTAATGCCTCATTTTTTAAAATACCACACAAAAAAAACAACAACAAAAAAACAACAAAAAAAAAACCAGTTACTGGCTCGATTTTTTAAAATATATTTTTATTGATTTCAGAGAGGGAGAGGGAGAGCGAGATAGAAACATCAATGATAAGAGAAACACTGACCTGCTGTCTCTGCATGCTCCCCACTGGGGATCGAGCCCACAACCTAGGCATGTGCACTAACCTGAATCAAACCATGTTAGTCATGGGAATCGAACCATGACTTCCTGGTTCATAATAGACTCTCAACCACTGAGCTACTTCCACTGGGCATTGCTGGCTAGATTTGACCCAAGAGCCACCAGTTTGTAATCTGATGGTGATCCTTTTAGACATTTATTTCTAAATACATAGGTTGTTGGGTATAATATTTTGGGGTGTGTGTGTATGTGTACCAAAAGTAGAATGATAACATTATTCTACCACTTCCTTTTTCTCAGATATCACCCAGAGCATCTTTCCACATCATATACAGTTTGGACCCCTACTGCAGAGCCCTCATGGTATAAAAGTACTTTGCTTATTAATTTTTTAGCCTCAGCAAACATGAAAGAGGCTCTTGAAATGTCGCCTGTAACTGCTCACTGTTCTTCCCTCTCCCCATGCTGAGAACATAACTCAGGACGAAAGTGCACCTGTGAGCAGATACGAAAACATTCTAAAGCCACAATCACTGAAACCATAAATGTTGACTGCAGACCTTTGATGTTTTACTATGAGAACTTACCATGAATTTTTTAATTTGATTTTTTAAGAAATACATTTTTACTGATTTTAGAGAGGAAGGGAGAGGGAGAGAGAAAGAAACATCAATGATGAGAGAGAATCATTGATCGGCTGCCTCCTGCACATCCCACACTGGGGATGGAGCTGGCAAACTGGGCAATTCCTGGCTGACTGGGAATCAAACCATAACCTTCTACTCATAGATCAACACTCAACCACTAAGCCATGCCGGCTGGGTCATTTGATCTTTATAACTGTCCTGAGGTCGGTCATACTATCATCTCCACTGTACAGATTTCTAAAAGCTGAGACTCACACAGGGGGATGAGCCTGCTCAGCAGGGCCTGGAGGAGGTGGGGTCAGGAGTGGAGCCTGGAGGCTCTGACTTCAGAGCTCCCGCTGCTCACATCCAGCCCCCAGTACAGACAGCCAGAAACCTGCCCGAGGAGATTCCACACGGTGGCAGCTGGCAAAGGTTGGACTGCAGGCCACTAGTGGAGAGGATCACTAACAAATGGGATAATTCATTTCTTGAGAGAATAAAAAACAAATGCCTCTTTTTAGGCCCTACTTCACATTCCTTAGGAAAAGAAATCTGCATCGTTTAAAGTGCAATATTAAAAAGAAAAATATAAAACTATGAAACCCTAGGGGTTCTCAGGGTATAACGTTTTTCTTTAAGTGTATGGAGTTGGCACCTATAATGCAAAAACTGGCCCTGTTCTCCACATCCATTAAATAGCCAACTTCTTATTAGACTCTAAAAGGTCTGGAACCAAAATGGGGACCTAGCTAAGACCCCACAATGCTCCTCAAGTCACTGGAATTCAAAGTGACATATTTCCTGTGTTGTTATTATTCTATACACCTAAGGATATTTTCTATTGAGAAGTTTCTAGCAGTTTCTAATATTTTCTACCAAAAATATTATAAGAAACATACTCATCAGGGTTGTGATAAGTTCATTTGCATAAAACAAAATGGTTAGATGTCAGTAGAATTA